TTTAATCATTAAATCAAAATTTTTTTGTCTCTTCGTGGAACCGTTCTCTACGCCGAATTGGTTAAGTTCTAAAAAAAAAAAAAAAATTTATAATGAAACATTTTTATACATCTAAAGGTCAACAGCCCAATTCGAAAATTAACTTCCTTATTGATTTAATGATGTTTTGATAAAAAAAATTAATTGCTGCGCCACTTAGTGTTTATTATTTTTACGAAAATAATTTATAACTGACGATGTATAACAAAAACAATATATAACTGAAATGATTTGAATTCAAGTTACAAATAACGACATACATTATATAATAACGTTATTTGTTTAACGAGTTAATATTTTCGTATCAAATAAATTTGTTTTATATTTGTGGTTTTATTGACGAAATAAAATTGAAATTAATTTCAAAGTTGCTCAACAAAAAGTTTCAATTTTCAACGAAAATATAAAATTCGCAAAAGAAATTAAATGCCAAACAAAGAACCTAATTTTATCTCGTTATTTAATTTACAACCTTTTAGCGTAAAGAGCTTTATGATTCTAGATAATTGATCATTTTGAATTCTTAAAATATTTTAAATAAGATTAGTGTTCCGAAATGGTCGGGTCGGGAATTGGTTTTTTTTGTACGAACATAGGATACTTATTAAAACTATATAGCTCTTATATTGGACAAAGGTTCACTATGTTGTTTTAAATAATTTACTATTGTAAAATAGATTTGTTATAGCTCATTAGTACTGTTTATGTACGTCATTTATCTTTTTGTGTTACAATTATTTTTATTGTGTCACAAGAAATGTACGAGACATAGTAAGTAAATCATATGATCCGTACCTCAATTTTAATAGCACACACTCCATATGGGTATAATTTTTATTTTAGCGTTTTTATTTAAAAAAACTTAACATACAGTATATAGCATATTAAAACAGCAGATAGAAACTTCAATTTCTGCAATTTTCCGATATTCATTTCCTAAAAGATGATGTTGTAAAGTGAATAGCGTAATTTAATTCAGTCCGTCAAATTAATTACAATAACTTTATCACAAGGCTAAAGGTAATAGCAAATATCTTTATTGAACTCTTGGTTTTATCTCAAAACCTTTTCTCAAGTTATCCTTCAATTCAAGGAAAAGTACATGATATTTATATAAAAGAAATTATTAATAATAAGAAGTAATAAATATGTCCTATATAATACATGATAAATATAAATGATAATCGAGTCAGCTATTAATTTGATGTTCGATCTTTTAATTAATGTTGATCTTGCAAAAAAATTTTAAAACTGAAAATTTTTCTAATAGATTACATAACGATTAAGAATCTTTATTGAGAAAAATTTTTTGCTTCAAAACAAAATATAAAGAAACATAAATAAGGTTTGAAAATTTACTTATTCTACTTATTCTGATGACAAACTAACCATTTTTGAACACAAAGTGTTTTAAAAGCCTTATTTTGAAATTTTGAAATCGTACCGTATGTGCGTTATTGTAAAATGAAATTATTGGTAGCACATATTTATTGATATGATATTTTGTAAATGATAGTTCCATTATGATTAAATCTACACGAAAAAAATTTTTTTTCGTTGCAATTACTTTTTTAATTTTTAAGGAGCGGTGTATCGCGAGTAGCAATAAGATAATGTGCGATGATGGAAATAAGAATTTGGCGTTAATACTAGTTAGCGATGCCAGTTCTATAGATGATTTTTATTTTTACTAATAATTTTAATGTATTACAGCTGATTTCAAAGGTCACGGGACAGCAAATAAAGTCTGAGAATTTCCGAGTACATATGGTATGTAAAGCCATTCACATATTTTTATTATTTTTATGTTGTTCCGCTATACTCGATAATTTTTTTTCAAAAAATTCTATACCGAGTTTTACCGCAAAATGATCGACCGTCCTGTGACTTTTGAAATAAGCTGTAATTGAAGATTTATTAGAAATAAAAATTAAACTTATGCAAGGTACCGACCTAACAAAATATGCTTAGGGCGTAACTATAATCAGTGCGGATACTTTTTTTAAAGTTTAGATTCTGGCTTTTAACTGTTTATGGTAATTCTAATTGAAATAAAATACAAAGAAATAGAAAAGTCTAAATATGCATCATAAAATTTATTTGTGCTACGGCATTGTTATCATGGGAAATACATCATCATATTGTTATTGATACATAGATACAATTTTAATGTTTGTTACCAAGGGTCAAAAATTATTTTATCAATTTATCAGATAATTTTTATAATAATGTGTTATGATAATGATAATAATAATAAAGCTTTATTTTTAAAAAACAATTAACAATAAACTAAGGTAAAGTCAGAAATTCAATATCAATGTAGCCTAACCTTCGGCGCATCAGCATTCACTATTCTTTTCTTCTCTAATTCGAGGGGACTCCTTTTTATACAAATTTTCTAGTTATAAATATTATTATATGGGTGGTATAATTGAGTTACGAGACATAGTAAATCATATGATCTGTACCTCAATCTTAATAGCATATTTCTTAAATATCGTCAATTAATTTCATCCTAACGAAAATCCGAAATTCACACCTTGTTGATCGGTCACAATATTTTTGTTTTCATTAGTTCTTATTATTCTTAATGAAATTTATATTTAAAGATTATCGAACTTCTCATACGCTTAAATTTTTTGTCTGATAGTAGAATAAATGTAATGACTCATGATGTAATTGCAATTTTGGACTCAGAGTTTATATTTTATTAATTACTGGGTTAACCCGCTAATCACTGAAGGATTTTCGATAAATATTTCTTTTTGTGTAATACCGTGGTGGTTTGTTAGGGAATAAGCGAAATTTTAATAGGATCAGGATATTTGATATAGATTCTCCTGCTATGAAAGATCTAGACGCTTTTCATTTAGTCTATAATAATTTTCCTTGGAAATCTATAATGATAATATTTATTTTTTATAAATTAATTAATTTTTGGATTTCTATTTGGTTTTTCTGATAACAATTCATCATTTAATAAAAAAAAAATTACCACAGATTAATTTCCAAGTTATTTTTACCTTGAAGATGATCGGATAGCAGTAAACAATAATAGTGCCGTTAATTTTAAATTAAAAAAAAAGTATTATCATCAATAAAATAAAAAAATAATTAAGACGATACCTCAGAAATCTTCAAGTAAGGGTGGAAATGACAGTATTTTTAAGAATAATAGAAACAAATTATAAAGTTGATTTATTATTCTACGTATTAAAAATTTGGCTTATACGTCCATAATTTTTTATTACAAGAAAATTATTTCGTTAGGATTAATATGATATATGTATTTAAAATAAATCATATAATAAGTAATATTATTAGATTTGAATCCGTTGAATAACTTTACTGAGGCTTTCAAAGTCAACTTTCTTTGACCAATGTGCTAATCAGATAAAATAATTAAAAAAACTTTTTGTGAAATAATATAATTATGAAAAATGGTCATAACTATATAACTATTAAACCAGTTATTGAAGTCACTGAACAGAAAAAAAACAAAAAAAAATTCGTGAGTTAATACAATTATGAAAAACGTTCATGACTCTAAAACTATTAATCCAATCATAATGAAAATTTGTATTCACCTATTTTCGAACCCGCTGAACAACTTAACTTAGGATTTTAAAGTCAATTACCTTTGACTATAGTTCTCAAATTGACCTTTGAAATAATTGGATAGATAGAAAAAATTACTTTTTTATATAAATAACTTTATTAGAAGTTAAAAAAGCAAAGGTGAAATTAAATAGATGTAAAAAAAAAAAATTAAAAAATTTTTTTATCATTTGTTCAATTAACTGGTTAAAAAAAATTTGGGATCATAACGATTTTGAATCTACAAAATCGATTTTCATTAGTCCGGTTAATCGGCAAAAATCGGTTACACAAAATCGTTTCTACTAGACAAAATATGAATTAACTTAGCGTTAGTGTATCAAGTCTTTTAATTATTCAAATAAATTTAAATTTGAGTATAAACTCTAATATTTTGTTAATAGTGTATAATAATTTGTAACATTGAAAAAATAAAGGTTTTAAAATCGGAAAAAATAAAAAAAAAACCTCCCAACAAGCATGCCACGTGATAGACACATGTCGTGAAACAGAATTTTTGATGAACTTTTGATTAATTTGTTTTTGCTTTTTATTTTCTAATAAATTAATATTATAAATGTAGCTCTAAATTGTTTTTATAAATTATTAAAGTTATAATAACTGTTCTAGACTTAAAAAATTATCAACGTTTTTTGCCGATTTTTTATTTTCAAAACTGGAATCGAAAATCGTTTTTTGTTTCTGATTAATCGTTTAAAAATCGATTTTTGCCGATTCGATTCCAATCCCTATCCTAGAAAATAGAAAGTAGTTAGTTTGGTTATTATATTGTAACGATAACGAATCTTTAATTAAATAAACAATCTGATCGTATAGAGCGCCGACGATTGAGGCAATACCTTATTTACGTAGATTTATATTAGATTTCAATTGTTATTAATAAAGAGACATTAATAAATAAATCTTCTGCTTACATTTCTTATAATTGATAAACAGCCCGAACTTATTAAAATCAGGTTATGAATCATAACATGAATTTTAATAGCAAATCTCCCATATTAGAAGACAGACACTTCAATTTCCCGATATTTATCTTTCAGAAAATATGATACATGAAAAAAATTTTAAATTATCCTTCACTAAAATTCTCTAATGCATTAAACAAATAAATAAGGAATAAGACTTTAGCTGTTACTTATTCTGATGACAAAGAAGTTATAAAATTAACCATTTTTGAACAAAGACGCAATTGTGTTAGAAATTTTTCTGAAATATTATGTTATTCTCGTTCATTAAAAAATGAAAAAGTTATACGAAAATCATCATAATTAATTGCTTAAAAAGGCATATTTAATTTTTATGATCGACAAGGCGTTTGGTGACAGAGAAATGTTCATCGCAAAATGCGAGAATCTCATGAGTATTTATTTAAGCAATTAGATAATGTGCGGCGATATAAATAAGAATTTGGCGTGTTTGATAAGTGGTAGGTCGGCGTTTTTCAATCATAATTTTCATTTTTGGGGTATAGTATAGTTTTTTTTTTTATACTCATACATGTTTTTAAAGTATATATCAGATATTATAAATGGAATAATGATTTTCTTTTTCACGAAAATTTTTTTCGTATACTTTCAAAATTAGGTTCTACTAATGCTTTTACTGACTATTCTTCAATTTAACATAATTCCAACCTAAAATAAGTAAAATAACAAATGTTGATCTTAACACAAAAATAATATTATACTTTTTTGACTCCTTACTTTAAATATAAAAATAATAACTGGCAAGGTAATAACTTTGAAATCACTGGTAATTTTTTTTTTTTTTTTACTACTAGGTAGGGGGAGGGAATTCAGCACCAATTCCAATTGAGCCCCGTCGCCATAGGTCTTGGAACTTCAGATGGACCGTTGGTACCGGTCGCTGTACAAAAGGACAGGTAGGGATCAACCTTGATCAACCTTACCGGATTGATCCGCAATTTCGAAAGAGAAAGAAAGTCTTTAACTCTAATGGGAAATGGGTAGATACTTCTCCTCTTCTTTTTTCTTAGATTTTAAAGTTCTCTCGTTAAGTTTGACCCGCAAAGCCCGGCGGGAGATAACTTACCAGGGCTCCACGCCCTGAAAACCGGGGCTGAACGCCCCGCAATCGGAAAAGAAAGTGATGAACTGATAGACCACCCCACCCCTGTGGTGACCGTTAAATAACTTGCACGGGCGGGACATTAGTTGAGAGGGTAGGGCTCCATTGGGATTTGGTGCAAAAGATCTTCCCCCTACCTATGGCGACGGGGCTCAATTGGAATTCGGTGCTGAATTCCCTCCCCCTACCTAGTAGTTGATTAAATGACCTACCACAAAATAATTTTAATTAAAAATAATATTAAAAATTTGTAAATTTCAAGAAAAAATTGTTTATAGAATAAATGAATTAAATTCGGAAAGGATCAGAAAACGTGATTTATACACACTCATAAGCATGAGATTTGTATCGAAGTAATACTATCAAAAGTTTTACAAGTTTACAAAATCCTCAATTAATGGCGATTTCGTTGAATTTGAGAGCCATTATATATTTTACTGTCAGTCTATAAAGAATGTATTGTACGGTGTGTTATGAACGTCTCTTAGTGACGTTAACCAATGTAAGTTATCATCGAACTGTACAATATCTATATTTGTCGTAACTGCTCACAAGGTCATGCTTTAAAATAGCTTATTGATATCTTAAAACCTTTTATCTATTAATCTCTAACATTAACCAATAAGCATGCGAAATAAATAATAGAATTATAAAAAAAAATCTCATTAAATTAATGTATTAAAATTTCTAAATCACTAGAAATAATAATTTCTGTTACAAGCAAAATTTTAGTTAACATATTCTTCGCAGCAGGATTATAATAAAAAGAATGATTCATTGCAATAAATCTATATTAATAAATCTTTATTAATCAATGGTTTTGTGTATTATTTATTTAGAAAGGCTAATATGGAATAAAAAATATTATTTTTATTGTACTAAATGTACTAAATTAACTTTGAACATTAAGATATTCGATATTATACGATCAGTGCAGTATAATATAAAAATATATATCAAGGACACAAACAACGCTAACCTATCTTTATCCAAAGCACTTAAATTTATGAACAATGAACTTTTTCAATTACTTTGTATTTTATTGGGTTTGAAACGCCAATATAAGAAAAATTTTTTTTAAATTAATATCCAATCAATACAACTTATGTAATAAAAAAAATTAAATCAATGAAATAAAAAATTATTTTTTTTTAGCCTGACAAAGACATTTATCATATAACTTTTTACTTTCGACCTTCAGATAATCGATATTATAAGTTAAAATCTTTCAAATTTTTAGTAACAAAACTTTTATATGTGATTACTTAATTATAACGTATGTACGTACGTACGACTTGGATTAACCTTCCCGTCGAATTTGAAATTTGTTTTTCATTTATCTCTTGTTCCAAGATATTGTAATACTGCTCGTGAATTACCGTTACTTTGATAAAATATTTCGTAAATTAAATTCAATAAAAGGCTCACAAACATAAAAAAATCCATATTATCTATGCCATGATCATCACTTTTGTAACACCACTTATTAGCTTATCTTATTTACATTAAAATTTTTTTTTATGTAGTGTCACCTAATGTCGTAGAGGAATTCTCATGATTGGCAGACACGTTTGAAATAAAATTTGGTCGGTCGTTTTATGATTTCTTTAAAATGAAAAAAAAAATATTATGACTACATTTGTTAATTATTGCGTCATAAAATTCTAAAATTATAATTTCTCATGATGAGAAAAAATAAAACAATATATGGGGCTTCGTCAATAGAAACACATCATCTATAAGATTTGTTGGAGAAGGTATATGCCTTTGACAAAGGCTAGGTAGCATTTACTTTATTTTCTACTTTATATATCCATTTTGGGATTTATATTATAAAAATATTTTTTTAATAAATAAATGCTTTATCGCATTTTAAAAATATATATATATATATATTTAATTATTTTGATTCAGTTTGTAGTGCGTTTCTATTGACAAAGCCCCTTATAGACAAATTAAACTTGTTTCACTATTTTATACAGTTAATTCTATAAAATTATTTTGTTATTAAAATTTTATCACGGAAATCTTAGTTTATTAATGAGATATACTTATTGATCTAGATCTTGACGTTCTTTCCCGAGTCGTTTGATAAACTAAATTCGAACAACAAGACATTTTTTTTTTTTTTATTATATCGTTCACAAAAAATTTTTTTTAAGATATTCTTCGTATAAAAACCGTGTGAATTGAATAAAATTCTGTGGATAAAAAAAAAAAATTTCATAATTTAAACATAATTGACTTTATAACATACTTATCCGTCTTTATTAGTATGTTTAATTTTTTTAAACAAATAAACGCTACTTCGCCTACTATTAATTCTAATTCCGATGAAATCAACAGTTTTAATAATGATATCAAACTGACTTTCCTTCCCACCTTAACAGCAAATGAAATCGTAAAAATCACCAATAAATCTAAAACATCCAAAAAAATTAGAGCAAAAACAACCGTATTTGAATTACAGAGTCATATTGCGACTGGTGACACTGGGGCTCGTTCTCTTGAGGATCCCGTCATGAATTCTTCTGGTAGTAGTCCTACTGTTAATCCTAATAATAACGACATGAATATAATCGCTCGCCAACAATTTATTGATTCGTTGGAACGAATGGATAAAAAATTACATGATATACTTGAATCGACCGAATATCCAGGGACGTTTGCTGCTTATCAAGAACTAATTTACGATTTTCAAATAGTAATTGAATCGTATCATTCTGGGGCTCTTTCTCTTGAGGATCCCGTCATGAATTCTTCTGGTAGTAGTTCTACTGCTAATCCTAATAATGACTACATGAATATAATCGCTTGCCAACAAAGACATATTTGTTTGTTGGAACAAATGAATAAAAATTTACGTGATTTACTTGATTCGACACAATATTAATTAAGTTATTACATCATATATAAATGTATTGACTTACCTTTAATGTTGTAAGATTAATAACAAATTTAAATTTTATACTGCCTTCCAAATTATACACTCAAAATTATTTTCATTTCTACTTCAATATCGATCTTCTTTTCTTCATTATTATTAATATTATTTCAATTCCTACTTCTTCTTAGCTAAAGTGTTAAGTTATTATAATGGCCACGTTCATTATATTAAATATTTTGATTTGATTATGTATTTAATAAAAAGGTGAATTTTTCTTGCGAACTTTATAAAAATTCGAAGACCCACAAATTTTCTTCAAAAAATGCGGAAATTAAATCAAACTAATTTTAGACGTAAAGATTATATTTTATAATCGAAATATAGTTTAACGTCTGTGAATCCTAAATTTTTTGTCATTCGTGGAACCGTTCTCTATGCCAAATTGGTTAAGGTATGCTGATATTTCAAGTCAAAAAAAAAATAAAAAAAATAAAAAATATTTTATGATGTGGTTGAAACTTAGGTCGTCAGATCGGTTCGAGAATTAACTTCCTTATTAATTTTATTAATTAATTATGTAATTAGAAAATTAATAAGTGTTGATGAAACAAAAAAATTTAATCGCTGCTTCACTTAGCGTTTATTATTTTTTTTTTTATAAATGACAATTTATAAAACAAAACAGGCCAAGATATAACGGAAATGATGTGAATTCAAGTTACAAGTAGCGAAATATACTACATAATAATATTATTTGTTTAACGAGTTAATATTTTCGTATCATAAACAAATTTGTCATATACTTGTGATAACTTAAAAGAACGAAATATAATTGAAATTTAAACATTGATTATTTTCAAACTTGCACAAGAAAATTTCAATTTTCTTAGAATTCAAGGAAATATAAAGATTTGAAGAAGAAATTAAATGCCAAACTAAGAACCTAATTTTATCTCATTATGTAAAATAACAAACTACTAGCGTAAAGAGCTTTATGATTCTTCATTCGTTATTTTTTCAATTACGTCGGGTTTGTAAATTAACTTTATAATAAAATTGTTATAGCTCATTAGTAATGGAAAAATTTTTAGTTAATAAGGAAATTGTTTATGTACGTCATTTATTCTCAACATTGTCGAAAATCGTCATTTTTTGTGTTACAATTTAATTGTATTTCACAAGAAATGAAAACATATGGGTATAATTTTTCATTTTATTTATTTTAGCGTACAGTATATATATAACATATAAAACAGCAGGTAGAACTTCAATTTCCGATATTAACTTCCAAAAAGATGATGTTGTAAATGATAACAGCGTAATATAATTCAGTATTACAATAACTTTATCACAATCACGGCAAAAGGTAATAGAAATGAATAACAAATATCTTCAATACCTTATCTCGAGTTATCTTTCAACTCAAGGAAATGTACATGATATTTATATAAAATAAATAATTAATAATAAGAAGTAATGATGTCCTATATAATATAATATACATGATAAATATAAATTATAAATAAAATATATAAAATAAAATTTATTATCCGGTATCTTGTAATTTTTTAATAATTAACAATGAATATTGTAAATCGTGTATCAGGTAATATATATTAATATTTAACAACTAATTAATTATGTAATATAAGTAGGATAATTTTTATAATAGTTATATTTTAACTTTTTACTAGAATCGGAATAATTCTTGCAATTGGCTTATACATTAATTATGAAAGATAATTACATGAAATTTATTAAAGAAATTTTATAAAATTTATTCATACCTACTAATTCTTAAAATATAATAAAGCTTTATGATTTTATAAATTACATTATTAAAATTTGCATTTCAATTAGAAATATTGCATGCTTATCGAGAAAAAGGATTAAAGAAAGAAAATTATTGTGTGGTGAGAAAAGAAAAGGGGTAAAAATAATTATACGTGATACCGGATAAATCACTTATTCGGCACTTCGAGCCGAATAACTGCCTATAAGGTAGTTTATAATATTGGGAGTCAAATTTGGATTTGTGGTTCTGGGCTCAACCTTCGCAGCATATCTATCCATGTAATGTCGAAAGAGATTAAAAAATTTTGTTGCCGGACTTCCACTTCCTGCGGGTTATTAACTCACCAGGAAGCCCAAGAAAAAAAAGAAGGTGGGAAAGTTATTTTTTTTATCAACTAAATAAACCTCCCCAGAATCAACCAATCAAATTTGATTTACTCAATATAATAGTTATTCGCCGTATTCGCCGCCGAATAACTATTAAATATCTGATATCTTGTAAAAATATATAACGATAATTTGAAGATCAATTTATTTTTGTCGATCTTTTAAACCTTTTCCTTTTAAAAAATTATTTTTTTAATTTTTTTTTTTCTATAATTAGTAATTATAGTTAAGCAAAATATGCTTTCATTGTTATTTGTGCTATGGATCAATTCAATTGTATCTTTCAATTATTTTTTTTTTTTTTGAATCTAACTACATCCCTATACAGGGGACGCATTCATTTCACCGACCGACAGTTTATTTTATGTAAAACTGTATTTTTCAATTTACAGTAAAAATAAATACTTTTTTTTTTTAAATATCGATGAAATTGTTTGTCGGTAAATCATTTTTGGTGAAACCAGACCCCATACAAAATGTTGATGATTTTTTTGTTTCGCGAAATTTTCTTTTATTAATACATTCAAAACCAACCAGAAACAAAAGGATTGGTTTGTTGGTAATCATTTAGCTCATCCCCCAAAATAATAATAATATATTTTTAATAAACTTGACCTATTTTATTATAATTATTCCTAAAGTTATAAAAAATTAATAAACGTGCTACTTCGCGACAACTTATATAATAATGATTCACTGATACCAAAAAGACTTTTCCACTTTAACAATAAATGACTAAGCCAAAAGTTGTTAATCGAATTCGGGATAAATGTACGGAACATCTGAATTATTTATCACGATTGAATATTAATTATTCATAAAATTATTTCAAACGCTAACAGTCTCACATTTATATCGAGTTTGTACCGCACCCAATATCACGATACTTACAGTATAAAGCCGTTTTATTGTTACAAAAATAGTATATGAAAATAATAATTACTGTGCATCTCTACTTGAAGTATTATTTTAATTTTAATTTTAATTTTTTTTTCTTTTACCTATGATTATACTTTTTTCAAATAACATACATTTTGAAATTTATTATGTGTATTGATCGGCACTTACGTCATATATGTAGCCTTTTTTTATATTATTCATTTCAATATTTCATACTTATGTATTAATTTTGAAGTGAAAATCAAGTAGATAGAATAACTCTCGATCAGCAGAGTTCGTTCCACACGGATCTTCGAAAAAGCTATAATTGGGAGAAGCGGTCAAATCTTCAGTTGGATGATTTACATTTGATGAATTTTGTGCATCCTCAACTGGAAGAACTTCAGCTCCTTCGGCTTGGTAGACATTATTTGAGCCTGCACCGCAAATTTCATTCGTTGCAGTAAAAGAAGAATCTCGTCCACCTTCCTGATCATTTTCAAATTTATTCATATGTTTATCAAATACGAATTGAATAGTGTTTTGGTTATACAAAGATTTTGCATCTTCAGCTAGCGTTTTATAAAAATTTTTGATGTTTTGAGGTTCTTTTTTCCAAAAATCTTTTGCGATTCTTGATAATTGACCCATTGGAGGTAATTTGACGTTTTTATTGCGATATTCTTTGGTTAATGCCATTCTATAAGCGATAAAAGCGTTTGGAAGTGTTCTGGCTCTACTTTTGTTAAGTGTGCCAGGCTTAGTAGCATTTTTAATGAGATCATTTGTTGTTAAAGTGTGAATGAAAGACGGTTTAATATCGGTGGAAATATTATCAATGTTGTTGATACTAACATTAGTTTCCCCATTCAACCTGGAATTGATTTCATCGATATTAGAAAGCGAAATGGCACGTTTATTATTTCTTAACTTTATAGTTTTAAGCATAATTATAATAATTGGATAAAATAAGGATATGTAAAGTCAAGTTTGAAAAATTTCTATGAGAACTATTTATAATTATTTTACAAGCAATATTCGTAAATACCACACCACACTCCTTTAGGAATGTGTCGATCAATAAATAACTTTCACACGAGAATTATTCCACGTGTTTGTATTACATAAAAAAGGCAGCGTTTAATTAACGAACTACATTATGGCAATTCACGATATTTTGCGGACTAATAAACAAGTTGTATATTATGAACTTATTCATTTCGAGAGTTATAAATAAAATAATTTGATTTAATATTCGCTAAAAAACAGTCAGCTATGTTATAACTTCCTGATTATAATCGCATCACAGAAAAAAAACTTTTATAATAACACCTATATTCAAACTAGATATGATTGAATTACCTCTATATTATCAAAATATAATAAAACCTTTTTATAAGCACATTTTTTAAAAAAATCATTATAAAACTAAAAGTGGTTATTATAGAGTTCTGAATGTATTAACAACCTTGAATCTAAAATTTTTTAAATTTCGGCGGAACATTAGTATGAATGACTGCCATAATCCAAATCGAATATACTGTAAATTGTATAAATGGTATTAATTTTATAAACATACGCTAAAATGAAATAATTTTATATCACGTGGTAGTAATTAATTCCGAAACGATTTTATGTGGTTACTTCGATAGTTATTATGATAAATATTTTCTCAATCTGGAATTAATTATTATAACTGAATTTTAATTTTATCTGAATTAACTGATATGTCTATTATTTTACATGTCAGGATAAAGAAAAGTAGAATTTATTATTATGTAGAAGTTTTATTAATTTAAAAATTTTTTAATTATTTTTAGATCTCGTGATAATATTTTTTTATTAAAAAAAATCATCGACTCAATAATAGTGTAAATATTGAAAATGATTTTTATTAACTTTGGTCTAACACAAATATATAGAATGTAACTATATTGAGACTGTATTTCAATTTTCATGAATAGTTAACCAAAAAAATAATGTGCGACAATAAGAAATGAGAGCTTTGCACGTTTATGGCATTTCTAATTACAAAAGTAATAGAAAAGGACAAATATATTTTTCATTGATGGTTCTTTTGTTATTTGTGCTACGTAGATTGGCGTTAATTGTGTTTTTCATCTTTTTTTCATAGTTAATAGAAAAGGGGGGATCAACCAAGTGGTCCAATAAAATAAGTTTTGACCAAAATTTGGATTTCTCCCTTTCTTACTGATTCTACTGACTGCCTCCCATATATCTAAAGATGACCATAACTTTTTTTTCGGAATTTGTTATCATCACTTCAGATTTAGAAATAGCATTTCTGAAATCTGTGCCAGGTTATAAGCATTTATCCCGGATATATTGTAAATGATCGGCACATGCGCCACACGAAAAAATTTTCTTTTCGAAACTATACTATACTATACCTTAACAAACTTCATTTGAACTTTAAAATTATATATTTAGCGTACCTTTTGCTCGCTCTTCAAGTTTACTTAGAATGTCAAATGAGGTTTTTGTTGTAAAATTTGACAACCGCATTTTTTTGCAAAAATGCGCCACATACATTAAACCATATAATCGGTGTAATCTGACACAGATTTCAGACGTGTCAACTGTATATTTTAATTTGACATTTTAATCTAGTAAAATATTTATACAAAAATCTATTCAACCAACCGTCAATCATTGAAGGATTTTCGATAAATATTTTCTTTTTGTAAACTTGTAATATTTTGATATTATTCAAATCTCAAGAAAATTCGGAAACGGGTGTATGCAAGTATGATTCTGGAGGTTTCACAAATTTATTCATTTAATCTTTAACAATTTTTTCTTGGAAACTACATAATTTATTATATTTTAATTTTTAAAACTTTATGCTTAACTATCGTTAGGTCAAAATTACTATTTAAATTTTTGAAAAACAAAAAAGGAAAAAGAAAAGAAAATTACCACGATGTAAATTCAAAGTGATTTATTTACCTTGCCAGTAATTATTTTTATATTGTTATAGTGAGAAGGCAAAAAAGTATATGAATGTTAAAAAAATAAATAACAAGATGAATGGAATAATGTTGACTTGAAAAAAATAAAAAAAATAGTCTAATCTTATAGTACCAGTCGTTGGAGCCATGACTGAGTCGCTGTTTCAAATTTGATATAAGGTCATAATAATGTGAAATTTTTAATTAAATAAAACTTCAAATTTATAGTCAAATGGGATTCTTGTTAACATTATTTATGATGAAATGTATAATTATCACTTTTTGTAATATTAATTAAATATAAAAATTTTTTTAAATATTATGATATTAATAATATAATTATGGTTACTAATTTCAAATGAGAGTCTTGACTCAGTTGATCTAATAGCTGATTGAGTTGATTTCAGAATTTGCCATCACTGGTCAAAATCAAAAAACTGATGTGATAAATTATCTATCATTCGTCTGTCAATCAGATATAATCATCAAACAGCCAAAAATTAACCTAAATCAACCTGTCTGATTTATGGTCAAGTGGAGTTAAGGTAAAATTCAATTCTGATTGGTTTAATCAGATAATGCACAAATTATCTAATTGGAAACTTCATCCCAAAGGAACATAGAAATTATTTTTAAGAAACAATAAAGATAATCATTCTATTTAGAATGATAAAATAACCGTTCCTTTGAAATGATACATTATAGTTTAATAAGAACAATTTAAAAATATCGTCCTAAAGAATAATAGATTATCATTCTTATTGAATGACTCCTAAAAAGACGATACATCATCGTTCAATAAGAATGATTTAAAAATCATCCTAAAGAGACGAAAGAATGATTTATAAATTTTTTCTTTGGAATAATATATCATTTAATATTTATAATTAAAAAAATCTTCTCTTTAAGATGATTGATTATTATTTTTATTGAACAATCAAAAAAATCGTCCTAAAGGAATAATAAATCATCATTCAATAAAAATGATTTATAAAATTGTCCCTTTAGAATGATAGATCTATCATTCTTATTGAACAATTAAAAGAAAAATTATCTAAAGGGATGATATATTATCATTTTAATTAAATGATTTAAAAAAATCATTTCTTTGAAATGATACATCATCATTCTTATTGAATGATAAAAAAAAGTCCCTTTGAGATGATATATCATCATTCAATAAAAATAATTTAAAAAATCATTTCAAAAGGAGTATAGATTATTGTTCTTATTGAACAATCAATAAATCATCCCAAAGGAATGATAAATTATCATTTAATAAGAATAATTTATAACATTATTCCTTTAAGATGATAGATTTATCATTCAATAAGAATGATTTATTAATCATGTCAAAAGAATAATATATCTATCATTTTCATTGAACTATTAAAAAAAATCATTTTTTTGAAATGATACATTATCATTCTAATTGAACAATCTAAAAAATTGTTCCTTTAGGATGATACATTATTATTCAATAAGAACAATTTATAAAATCATTCCAAAAGAATGATGGACATCATTTTTATTAAACGATCAAAAATCATCCCAAAGGAACGATACATCATCATTTCTTTGAAAGATAATTGTTCAATTAGAATAATAAAAAATCATTTCTTTGGAATAATAATCATTCGATTAAAATAACCAAATCATCATCCCTTTAGGATGATATACTATTATTCGATAAGAACGATAACAATTATTCAAATTGAACAATTTCAATATTATTCTAATCAGATGATGCAAAATCATCTAATTTCAAGAAATAATACAAATTATTCAATAGGAATAATAAAAAGAATCATTCTAATTGGATAATACAAAACCATCCAATTGGCTAATAAATATCAGATTAATCAACATTTTCTATTATATTATAAAACTGATAAACTTACAGATTTATTTGATAAAATGTTTTACTTTTTTTTACCTTTTTTCTTTCTTTTTTATGTATTTTTTAGAAATATTCTCTCATTTTGGAAGATTTTTATCATTTTTCTTTCTTTGTTTTTTTAGGAAAATTCTTAATTTGGATATAAGGTAAGTTATTCAAAAGTGATTTTTTGGATATAAATTTACCATTTTTCTTTTTTTCTTGTTTTTGTTTAGAAAAATTTTCTTTTGAAAATGGAAATGAGTTTTTGAATGGATTTTTCTTTCTTTTTTTGTTTTTTTTAGGAAAATTCTTATTTAGAAATTAAGATAAATAAATTAAAAGCAACTTTTTGATGGTTCTAACTCTTTTTTCTTTATATTTTTGAAAGAAATTATCTTTTCAAAACTAATGTAAGTCTTTTAGAAAATAACTTTAGGATGGTTTTTAATCCTTTTTTTCTTTGATTTTTTTTATTTTTTTAAGAAACTTATCTAAACTAAGGTAAGCTTTTTTGAGGTGATGTTTTGATGGTTTTTAACCCCTTTTTTTTTTACTTTCTTTAGGAATATATTAAGGTAAGTAAATCAGAAGTTTTTTTTATCTGTTTTCTTTATTATTTCATAATTTTATTTAGGAATATACTAAGGTAAGAAATCAGATGTGATTATTTGTTATTTTATCTGTTTTCTTTATTTTTTCTTTATTTTCTTTAGAAATACATTAAGATAAATAAATCAGAGGTGATTGTTTAGTTGGATTTTTTACTATTTTCCTTTCTTTTTTCTTTTTATTTTAGAAAAATTCATATTTAAAATTAAGATAAGTAAACCTGAAGTGATATTTAAATGAAAATTTATTATTTTTATTTCTTTTTTCTTTATTTTAGCAAATTATCATCTTGGTAAATAAATCAGTAGTAACTTCTTAGGTATAAATAAATTTATCATTTTCTTCATTTTTCTTTTTTTTTTTAGGAAAGATTATCATTTTGATAAGTAAATGAAGGTAATTTTTGGGGTGAAAATTTACTATTTTCCTTTTTTTTTTTATGAACATAATCTATTTGAAATTAAAATAAGTAAATCAGAAGTGAT